ACGATGTAAAACAATGCACAAAGAGTTGCAGGAAAACAACTGAGTGATGATTCAGAGGATTCAGTGAATCGTATTTCTTGAACCAGTTAATTAAATGAATCATCCGAATGTACTGTCTTACTAAAATAACTTCAATGCTATATGTAAAAGAAAAAACATTAAAGACAGCCATAAATGCAGACACTTCCTATTTTAACTTATATAATATATATATATATATACACACATATATATATTAGTGCTGTCAAACGATTAATCGCATCCAAAATAAAAGTTTTTGTTTGCACAATATGTGTGTGTGTTCTGTGTATATTTATTATGTATATGGGTCAAAGACATTAAGATGTCCGCATCAAAATAAATTTATAAAAGTGATTTTATTTCCATAGAAAGCACATTAAATGTTAGTAAAGTGTCTACTTTTAAGGTTTCAAATAACTTTTTGAAGAATAAAATGTCAAAATTTGGTTGAAATAATGTTACATTGTCATTCGATGTAATACAATATTTATGTAAAAATTCAAACAACATGCTTATTCTGACGTTTACATATTAAAATATATAAAAGAATGTATGTATGTACTGTATGTATGCATGTATGCATGTATAAAATTCCCTCATATAATTCTCTCTTATTTCTAATTAATTAATTTATTTATTTATAGTTCTCTTTTTCTCTAGATTTCAGCTTTAGCTTGTGTGTGAATCTAGGTTACACTTAAAATTCCCACAAATATTGCTGGCACTGATGACAAATTGTGTGTGAAGCTCCTCATTTGTAAGTCGCTTTGAATAAAACCAATAAATGCTAATTATTTCCTCAGCTTCCTCTGTTGCAAGGCTCCATGCACAATATAAAGCAAATAGTTAAAACACTGATGTTATGTTAGTTCATGCTACACTGCAACTGCTGTAAATAGCTGGTTACTGGTTTTAAAAACTGTTTTTTGGTCTGGTCTGGTTTCTGTCACTTATCTGAATAATGTAATTATGTTAATAACCTCTATATTTGAGTTGGTTTGAGAACAGCTGTAGGCTTTTGTGTGCATGTTTATGTGTGTGAGTGTATTACCTCTGATAGTTTATGACACATCTGTTCCTCCCAGCCATCCTTGGGAGGCATTTCTGGAATCAGCACCCAGTCAGCTCCACATGCAAGAGCACTGACTAATGCTAGATACCTACACACACATACACACATGGTTTAATGCTGATTTTTAAATATATGCATATTTATCTTTGAGTGTTTCTAGTCGAGGGTCTTACCCACAGTGTCTTCCCATGACCTCCAGCACAAAGGTCCTCTGATGGCTAAAAACACACGATATGAATAAAAAAATAAATGTATCTTTAAAGGGGTCATATTATGTTGCTAAAAAGAACATTATTTGGTGTAATGAAATGTGTTTATGCGGTTTAAGGTTCAAAAAACACATTATTTTCCACATACTGTACATTATTGTTGCTCCTCTATGCCCCACCTTTCTGAAACACGTCGATTTTTACAAAGCTCATCGGTCTGAAAAGCGAGGTGTGCTCTGATTGGCCAGCTGCCGCGGTGGGCAAGTGACATAACCGGTGTTGCGGCTTAACAACAGTATCACTGTCAGCACCGTCTATCGCGGCAAGCCTAATTTGTGATCAGGGAAATGACAAACAACAAGCGCTTCTCTACACTGCTCAAAACTCGCATTTGAATCATCAGTGGCAAATCCTTTAAAT